ACAACTCCCAGCATCCCACACAATGGTTACACTGTCCTTGGCTCACCTATCCCTGTAGCACAACAACTCCCAGCATCCCACACAATGGTTACACAGTCCTTGGCTCACCTATCCCTGTAGCACAACAACTCCCAGCATTCCACACAATGGTTACACAGTCCTAAGCTCACCTGTCCCCGTAGCACTACGACCCCCAGCATTCCACACAATGGTTACACAGTCCTGGGCTCACCTGTCATTGTATCACCACAACTCCCAGCATCCCAGACCATTGGCTACACAGTCCCAGGATCACGTGTCACTGTATGACTACAACTCTCAGCACCGTGTGGCCGGCTTATTTTTAACTCCTGCTGTGGAACTACAACTCCTGCTCTCCCTCTTGATCTAGTACCACCGAAGATTGATGGACTACAAGTCCCAGCATTGTTCCTCAGGCTCAGTGTCTGGTCTTTGGTAGTTGCACTACAACTCCCAGCTGTCCCTGTCCATCTCTGTATCGCAGGCTTAGGTGTTGGTCTGGGGCAGTTGTGGTACTACAAGTCCCAGCATCACCCAGTTATCTCCTCCCGCTTTTCTTGTGTGGGAGCCCCAGTTTGCTCCATCATACTTGAGACAATCATTGTGAGACTACAACTCCTAGCTTCACCTAGTTATCTCTGCCTACTTTTCTTGTGTGGGAGCCCCAGTTTGCTCCATCATACTTGGGACAACCATTGTGAGACTACAACTCTCAGGAGAACATCACCTCAGATGAGATGGACACCATGATCACTGTGTTTGTGTTGTCTTGGGGAAGTGTTTTCTTGTTGCACCCACTTCCTGTTCCTCTGCGTGCTTTCATTTCTGTAATTGAACTCTGCGGTCGCGCTTCACAACACAGCTGGTGAGGAACTATAAGTCCCAGCATGCCACGCCAAGCACCGGCGGCACTTAGCAGGGTGAGCTGAGACTTGTGGTTCCTCTCCAGCTGGAGGTATAACGGTCTGCTGGGCTTAGTGTCACATCGCCTTGGGCCGGGGTGCCGCCTTATCTGGAACTCGGCTTCTGCCAATGTTTTCCGGGCGACGCAAACAACGCAGGCGGTTGTTATGCCGATCTGTCTGCATTCCTGCCATTGTTTAGGCACTCCCGCCGAGCGCTGACATCACACTGTGTATGTATAGGACATGTGACACACGTGACATGAGCCGTACCTGTGCACAAGAATGTAACCCCCCCTCCCCCGTCCCGTGCCCAGCTGTAAGTACAGGAGAATGCCAACGTGCCTGTGCCCGGCTGTGAGTACAGGAGAATGCCAACGTGCCTGTGCCCGGCTGTAAGTACAGGAGAATGCCAGCGTGCCTGTGCCCGGCTGTGAGTACAGGAGAATGCCAATGTGCCCGGCTGTGAGTACAGGAGAATGCCAATGTGCCTGTGCCCGGCTGTGAGTACAGGAGAATGCCACCCTCTTTCTGTGCCCGGCTGTGTACAGGAGAATGCCACGCTCCTTCCTGTGCCCGGCTCTGTGTACAGGAGAATGCCACCCCCTTCCTGTGCCTGGCTGTGTCTACAGGATTTCCATTCCCCCCCCCCGCGCCGGCTGTGTGTACAGGAGTGCTTTATGTGTACAAGGAAATACCATCCCCTATCCTTTGCCCAGCTGTGTGCATCAGAGAATACTGTCCCCTATGTAAAGTGGCGTACGCATCCCCCCCGTGCTGTATGGGAGGGAGGGGGTGACAATGTTTTCAAAGGATGCAGTTCCTCTGACCATGCCCTGCCTGCTGTTGTGGCCTCTGGCGACCCATCTTGGCACCCTGAAGGTTCCAGCATCTCTGATGCCATCGCTGGTCCCCCTCGCTGAACCCCTGTGCTTGCTTGCATGCATTAGAATTAGATTGCAAGCTCTTTTGGCGAGTCGGTGGCAGGATCACCTGTGCTGCCTCCTAATTCCTTGTTCTACTTTCTCTCCTCCAGTGCTGGGCTTTCTGTGCTGCGGCCTTGGCACATGCGTGTCCCAGAGAGGTACCGTGTGTGCATGTACCCCACCCCCCCTCCAGTGTATGAGTCCTGCCATGATAACGGTGGTGGTTGCAGCATGCGCCTTGTATTAAGTTCTCTGGCCACTGACCGCTCATACTGACCTCCTCAAGAGCACCTGTCCTGTGGGGTATATGGAGGCCGCCATTGCTTATCTGAAAGTGCCAGTCGCCTGGCTGCGGTTTCCTGAAGCACTTCCTGGAACAAGCATGCAGACAGTGAAGTCGTAGCTCATGTATGCTTGCTCTGGGTCTGTGCCTCAGAAAGGTGTTGAAGCCAGAGGACTGGCATGATGACAACGCCATTTTAGAATGCCCGTTCCGATCAGATTCTGTAACCATCCAGAAATGTAATGCTTCATTGCAGCCATGGCAACAGGGTCAGCCTCCTCATCCCCCTGCTCTTGTAACTGGCTCAATGCCGGGCCCACAAATCTGCACAGGGGCTGAGGTCTGATTACAGGCAGCCTGTCCGTGGAGTATGGCATCCCCAGCATTGGTATTGGGTGTGATTATATTTGGGGGGGTAACTTGTATGCTGTGCGGCATGTCTAAAGGGATGCCAGGGGTGCAGTGGTAAGGGGCCCGTATCCAAAAGGAGAGACGGGCCAAGATGATACAGGAGGGTACCTGAGACCTCTTGGAGACGAGGGGAGCGCTAGAGTTGCAGGATGCTTTGGGGTCCCTGGGTGACACCGGCTGCTGTGGGGTCAATGGAAGTCACAGGGTGCTGTAATATCACAGGAAGTAGTCGGTGTCCTCGGGGGTGACTGTGTGGTGACAGACGCTCGGGGGCAGTGCAGGAGGCTCCGTGGTTACTGGGTGGTGAGGGGGAGAGTGGGCAGCGCAGGATGCTTGGGGGG